AATCAAAGTTTATCATCCAATATATCAATCAGGAAAGATTTAAGGGATATGTGCCTAACTGACACACATTCAAGTGGAAGAAGATTAGCAGAAACAGTTCTGTTGAAACACCAAGAACAAACTGACTCTGCCAAATATTGACTACTTGAAAAGAGTTGCAAATTTTACAAGACAAAAACTTAGGCCTAATGAACCAAAAGAAGTGGACTTTGATTTAAATAAGAATTTCATTCCTGATGATTTCTTAAAAGATGACATTTATGAAAACAACAATAGAATCCTGATTTTTGCCACAAAGCTTGATTTACTTGGCACATTTTCCAGATAGATTTTTTTCAATTATTTTACATTGATTCTCGTCTAAATACATATCTTGTAAATTCAAATTTTTTAGAGTTGTTGATAAGTTGAAAAGTTTCTCAAAAAATATTCCATTTCTTGAATGTTTCTTAAACAGTAGTTGTTCATCCATTTCGTTTTTTTCTTCTATTTCGAAGTTAAATTATTGACGGATTAACACATAAACATTTTTTGAATGCTAGACAAAACCTCCTTAACCCTAATCAACAGACTTATTTCTCATATTTTATTTATACCCTTAACATAGGTCAATTTACTGAAATCGTAAAAAATGTTCTAAATCCAGCTGAAAACTTTACCTTCAAGGGAAATTTTGTCTTGCTCTCAACACTGATTATATTAATATGCTTACCTTTTATACAATACCTTTTTGAGTGTTTCTCAGCTGCTTCAATCCATTGATAACTCTATCATTTGACCCAATTTCATCATGTAGATGTTTGACACTGTATCTTGTATACATTGAGTGGGACTTTTTAAAAAATACAAATTAAAGAATGCTATAATGTATTTAGGGCAAATATGCAATTTTTATTGAGATTATGTGGTTTTAATCACGGTTTTATGGTTTTGTTAAATGTTAATTTTTATATAGAGCAAACAATGTGCTAAATATTTAAATAGAGTTTATATATATATATATATATATATACATAAAATTGCTTTGGTACACAGCTTATTCATTCAACCTGAATGTTGATCAACAATAAAATTTTGGCCTAAAGAGATTTTTAAGAAACTTTACATTAATCTAGTATCTCATTAAACTAATTATGTTTTGACATTCACATCTTAAAAATAATGAAAATATTGATTGTGATGGCATCAAAGAATGAATAATAAACTTCCGGCAAAAAGGTCTTTTTACATTTTTGTTATTGAGTTAAAGAAAGAGGCTGAGTGGAAAAATTATTGTCAGAGAAAAACTTAAGCCTAGTACTAATTATCGCTCAACAATAAAATGCAATGCAAGAGATGAAAGAAAAAGTATACGAAATATATATTTTTACATACTGGACTACTATTAAAAATACCTGCTATGTTCAGACATTAAATAGATCAATCGACTACAAAATTACAGAAAGTCAATGTTTCCTAAATTCAGTTAATCATCACGAACGACCTGATCTAGTTGAACTGAATGATTCCTTTGAATACTATGGCCCAAAAGATGGACAATATGACAATCTTGATGTGTCTCCTAGATGTTCTACTCTCTCCAACAGAAAATGTAGATCAGATTCTACTATTCAGGAATATTGTATAATATATTGGGTGTTGCTTTTCAAATAACCAATGCCACTATGACAACACATTTATACCTGGTTTTGTAAAAATTTTAAGAAAAGCACAATTTACAACTTATTTAAAAGTTGATATTTCTGTAAGTTTAGAACAATGTTCTATGAAATGTTTATCATTGTCAAATTGTAGATGTTTCACCTATAATTTTCAAACTACTGCTTGTATTTTAAGTTCTGAAGTTTGTAGGGCTCAGGTTAACTTTTTAGGTGAAACTGCCTCATATGATTGAGTTGCATTCAAATCAATAAGTTATTTTTTGTCAAATTGTGGTTTCACTAGTGAATTTGCTACATAAGACCTTTATGGTTGTCTTTAATAAATGCAGATCTGAGAGTAGTTGTGAATATTTTATCTATGTAAATGATTTTCGTCCAGATCGTTGTACAACTATAGAAAATAGTAATTGCGATTTGTTTTCTGATTCACTCAAATATGATTGCTATGTAGTCAGCTGTTTTGATGGACCAATATTTAAAGATACCAATCGGCAAAAGGATGAAAAGTTGATACCAACTATATTATTTATGCATTATAATAGCTTCATCTAGCAAGTATAGAAGGGCTTTACTCGCCAAAAAGTATTGAATTTATATTGCTTAAGCCACATTAAGAGCTTAAAATTAAAATATTGTAACCCTAACATAAAAACAGGCTCAGTTAGTTAAATAATCAGAAAATGTTGAAATACAAAACAGCAATCAGCTTATTATAAACAAACATGGACAAAATAATGTATTGAAATGGAATAACCTGATACTGAACCTTCAACTGTTAGTGATGAAAATAATGATCAATTTGGAAATAAAGAGGTTAAATTAATATTAAATTTGATATTGTCTAAAATTCGAAGTTTGACATCCAGCTTTTGCAATCATTTAATTTTTCACATGAAAGTTCAAGGGATGCTGATAAATTTTCTGATGGAAATTATGAGATAACAAAAATTTGAATAACAAAAGCCCAGATAAGAATAGCTTTCAAAACTCAATGAAAGACCTAAAATTTTTCCACGACACCTTTCAACACCCAGGATAACATCGATAGAAAAAAGTCCTTACCACCTTCAAGCCGATAATATCTCTGTTTGGATTGATATCAAGACATTACTTATATCCCTAAACCGACAAGAAAATAACGGCCATCCGCAAAACCATAAACTCAATCAATTCGTTCTTAAACTACCGCTATATATCCAACAGGAAGTCAGATGTGTTATTTTAAATCACTCTTCTGATTTCAATGTGCTTGTACAAGAATTACTTAAAAAGATAACACATATTACAAAAAGTATTCGAAACGGATCCTATGTCCCTTCTACAACAGACTCAGAAATGACATTATCCTCCTTCTATGTACACAACCTTATTTTAGTGGGGAACAATGAAGAATAATTTGAAAATCTTGCATTTTGTCACATCCTTTCTAGTTCGCATCTTCGAATTACTTGAATTTATTGAACCAAACAGTCTCCAGATTAAAATCTTGATTTCTCTATTTCATTGTCTATCGTGGGATGAAAAAGTTGATGAATCTTGCATTATATTTAGTATTTTCAAAACTGCTGGCACCTATTTCATCTCAAGGCAAGTGCCCCACCCAACACTATTTGCATATACCCTGACACATCAGATATAGCTTACAAAGCAGCAGAATATGCTATAAAAGATAATCAAGGATACCTCCTCTCTTCCTCTGTCCGCCTCTTCTTTCCTTAGCAAACCTTATAAGACCTTAAAAATTTATCTTCTTCCAGTCACCTATCAAGGTGTTCGTAGATAGCAAAATTATCGCATACTACCTTGAAACAGGGACATAAAATTGTCTAAAACAGTTTGCTTTGCAGTCAAGTCACTACTAGCCACTAAAAGAATTGGGGAATGGTGCTATGTCAAATCAGAAAGCCAACTTAGCAGACTATCTGATGCATTGTACGATGTCCTAGATCCTGAGATTCATAAACAATTGCCGCATACCAGATGAGAACCAGCTCAAAGACCAAGCACAACGCTATCTATCCAAAACTGTTCAGGCTTTTAAGCCCATAGAAAAACTGATAAAACCATACTCTCTAGTAAAGATGGCATTTAAATGACCCTAGGGAGGTGATTTCATAAAAATATCTACAATACGAATTAAAGATGGCGAATACGATCCAGCTATAATATCTATGGAACTTTAATTATTTAATGCGAGGTGCTACACAGAACTCTAAAGCCTCCACAAGAAAATAAACGTTGAAGGACCAATACAAGACTCCTTTATGTGTCGATGATCTAATGCTTTACCTAGATCAACAAGCATCACATACATTTAAACTAGGATACAAGATTCATTCAGGAAATAATAAGATATAAAGAGATGTTAGAGATATAATCAGGCAATTATCTTCCTCTTCCCTCTGCCAGTGTAGTCGATAATCACAATTACTAGACTTGGCGACATGCCAAGTTTAGACTCACGTGCCTTTATATTATATTTATTATTAAAAAACGTTATGTTAGTATTCTTCAACTTATATTTTCATTCGCTTTCTAGTACTCATCCATAGCGTAAATACTTTAAATTAGTAGCAATTCTCATAGATAATAAATACAACCATTCATACTTACTGCTATATTTTAAAGTCAAAAAATGGGTATAGTTTACACCCTCCTTACCAATACAGTTTCATGCTACATTAAATAATGTATATTTATACATCAATAATACATGGCAATGAATTTTATTGCCTTTAATTATGTGCTGCTCAGTTCCTTAATAAATGGTCTAATGAAAAGATGTAGATTTTACTCATTTCTAGTTTGAGTGAACGGTCAAAGAAAACATGGACAAATGCACAGCTAATGCACGTTAATTTTGAATACGACAGAAGTCGCCCAGGGCAGAAGTCGCCCAGGACAGAAGTCGCCCAGACATTGATAGAAGTCACCCAGAGCTGTGACAGAAGTCGCCCAGAAGTGTGATAGAAGTCACCCAGGACTATGACAGAAGTCGCCCAGAAGTGTACTAGAAGTTTACAGTATGCTTAATAAAATGCAAAATATATGAAAATAATTTATGAAGTAGTTTGTATTTATTATTTGTAATCTCTGAGTGATAATGAAAGAAATTGTTTTACCAGTTTTTTTTGTAGAGTAATGTTTTACCACTTGATTTGTTGTGAAAATTGAATTGTTAGCTATTCGAATTAAGTGATTTTCTGCATTGTAATCCTTCAAAAGTAACAATTGTTTTGATAAAAATATTAGTCTCTTTAAAATCATGTATATATCTTACAATTTTTTTTTAATTCTCATGATCTTTGACATAACAGGTATTTGAAAGAAATTTATCAACATGGCAAAATTCTGCTTTGAATGTAGAAAAAAAATTAATAAACTAAAACAAGGAACATGTTCTCATTGTTCTCACAAACTTCATTGGACATGCTTATCAGGTTAGATTTTTCATATTTAAATCTTAATGTTTATGTTTAATTTTGTTAGATGGATTATGCTCCATTTGCTCATCTATTCAAATCAGAAGTTTGAAAATTGTTTTGAGAAGGTGTGATAATAGTTGTACAATCAAAGATGCAACTAAAGAATCTACTATTGAGGGAAATATTAAAGAGCCAATAAAAAATGCTGTAGAGAAAGATAAGACATTAGCAAACATTACGGTTACTTCTATGGATGTTGATCATGAACAAGTTGTTTCTCATTTCTCAGCAGATGCTATTGAAGCAAATGAGCTACCTTTAAAAGACATGAACACAGATGAAATCAACTGTGCTGCATCAACTATGGAGGCAACTTTGGATGATGAGAGAATACCAACTGTTGAAGATGTTGAGGATTCCTTTGAAAGTTTACCAGAGGAGATTGATGAGGCAGATGGTCATTTCAAAGTATTTGAAAATGGAAGTCAAAGAGAAAAAAAGTTGCTTGTACACAATAATAATTCTTTTACTATAAAAGGACAGTACAAAAGTAGTACTATTTGGATATGTAGTGTCAGGAACAAGAAAATCAGATGCCCTGCCAGTATAATTCAAAGAGGTAGCAATTTTCACTTAGGTTCTAAATCACACATTCATCCACCTTAAAACAAGTTCCTCTACTCTTTGCTTTTATGACATCAAAGAAGAAAAAAGCATACAATATTTTGTTTAGGGTAAGGGTATTTATAAAAATACAATTTTTTCAAAGTAAATAACATTTTATTAACAGACACTAAATGAACTTTTGGAATACAAAACACCAAAGAAAATTGTTCTGGACTATGAAAGAGCAGTATGGAAAGCTGCATTAGACAATTGGGAAAGTGTTACACTAACAGGCTGTTTATTCCATTGGAATCAAGCTGTTTACAGAAAAATTCAGGTGAAAATGAGGCTATTTTTATATAAGATGATTTACTCTACATTTTTTGTTTTAATAGGAACTTGGATATTCATCAGACTTTAAAAAAAAAAGAGGACAGTGGTTTGAAATGAGGCAGCTTATGGCATTACCATTTCTTCCATTTCACATAATTCCAATAGAATTTGGAAGAATTAAGGATTACCTTCAATCAGTAAAAAAACTAGGTGATCTAATAAAGTACTTTGAAAGGAATTGGATGATGGATAGAATTTGGTCACCAAAGCAATGGTCAATTTATAAAAATGCTATTAGAACTAATAATGATGTGGAGGGGTTCCATAATCGGCTAAATGGCAATTTAAGAGCAAATTCTTCATTCTATTTGGTAGTAGATGAATTAAAATGAGAGGCAGATCTTATCCCAGCATATCAAAGAATGCTATCAGAGAGAAAGATATTAAGATATCAAAGAAGACAATATAAAAATATGCAGAATGAAATATTTAAAATTTGGGAGAAATTTGAAGCTCATCAGATGACTTCATCACAAGTTTTGGAAAAATGTTGTCAACTCTACTCAGAAATGAAATGAAATGCATAAGATTTGTAGTTTAAAACTCATTACTGTACTTTGTAGTGTTGTTGTCAACATGTTTGGTTATGTAATATCTTATCTTTTGCCTATAAAAGGGCTTGATTCTGGTAGTTCGGTACCATCTACCCTAGAGGCAACATCTACTCTACTACTTCTAGCATCATGTGGTGGGTACCATTAATATCATATCTACAATTTTTTTATTGTCATGATCTTTGACATAAGAGGTATTTGAAAGAAATTGATGAACATGGCAAAATTCTGCTTTGAATGTAGAAACAAATTTAATAAATTAAATGAAATGCATAAGATTTGTAGTTTAAAACTCAATACTGTACTTTGTATTGTGATTGTGGGAATTTTCTGCTGTACTGATCCAAATAGAACCTCAAGTTTGTGCACAAGTTTAAGCAAATAAATGATATTTATGTGAAACCTTCAACAGAATGCCAGTATTTTATTATTTAATTCATTCACTATTTAGTTATTATTAAATGATGCATTCTATATTTATTAATACTTATTATATATTTCAATTGTCAGAAATCAATAGAAACAAAGAACAAACACATTATGTCTTCTACAGTTCTAGGCGACTTCTGTCATAGTCCTGGGCGACTTCTATCACAGTTCTGGGCGACTTCTGTCACAGCTCTGGGCGACTTCTATCAATTTCTGGGCGACTTCTGTCCTGGGCGACTTCTGCCCTGGGCGACTTCTGTTGTTCCCGTTAATTTTTTATGTATGTAGAATAAAATAACCAAGGTTGAAAATAGCCCGAGCCCTTGATATCGATACATTCTGTCATTACAGTAAATTACAATGGCAGGATTTTTTCCTTGATGGTTACGTGCTAGAGCTTAGTAGATCTTTGACAGATTAGCAGAGTACTGGTTAGTTAGTAGAAGTTTACTAAGACGGGGCCGACAGAAAACGTCCACAAATGAGAAATTTCAAGACAAAAATTTGGATTGAGAAATGGTTAGGCAGAAGAAAACAGCAACTGATCTGTACTTAGGAGGGTCTCCTTTAAGGGTTAGGGGTAATGGAAAAGGTTAGGGCTGGGTTAGGGTTAGGGTAAAAACACCAATTTGTGGTCGTTTTCTGTCGCATCCTACTAAGACAGGCTTGTACAAGTCTTAGGTTGAGGTTAGAATTTAGTTTCCAGTGTCTATATCAATGTTTGGCTGAGCTTTTGTTATGGGCTGAACAGACTTCTCTGTTATCTTCTCAGTAAAAAGTGACATTATGTATTTTTAGAGAAAATTTTCAGGAATCCTGAACAAAACGACACTTGGACAAAATGCCCCCAGACGAGAATGAACCCTGGGCATAGTGCATTAGAATCTGCTAAGAAAAGCATTTAAAAAATTTTCAACTAATATAATAACAAGTAAAAGGAGCCTTTAGCAGAGATAATTTTATTCAATCTATTTTACCAAACTTGGAACAAGTGTCCAATTAAAATTATGACATCAAAAGATTTGCTCTAATTAATATAATTATATATTATAAAAAGATTGGCTCTAATTAATATTCAATACTACTCACAACAAATTAAAAAAACTGGCAGCATCATAAAAAATAACTTGTAGTAAATTGAATAGATCATAACAAAAAAATTACTTTGTGATGTTATTAATCTTACACCATATTTGACACAGCCCAATGTCAAAAGGAACAAGAAACATTTATGTACGATACTTTTGAGCTTCGTTGTTTTTAATATTTCATCTGTTGAAACTATTTGTGTAGGATGTCATTTGTTTAAGTACATTCAGAAAATGCTAATTGAGGTGTAATAAACCCAAAATTCATACAATTACAATACAACGAGAGAACAGACAAGAGATGAATAAAACAAGTTTTTTATATTTCTGTTCTTTCTTGCAATATTCTTTTCAAAAGCATTCCATATTTATGAATATTCTCTTGATGATTTTCTATGCTAAAAAAATTAACTTTTTCCATTACAAGGAAAAATTTTTTTGATTTTATCTAGAAAAGAAAAACAAAACTATTAAAAAGAGAAAAGAGAAAGCAATTTTCTTTTATGAAGAGAAAACTTACATTAAAAAATATCTGATCAATATCTAATGGTCCTTGCAAACTGAATGATTTCTCTACCAGAAACTCCATTGATGAAATAACACTTTTACATAGTTCTAAAACCGTGCCAACGTCATAGATTTCATTAGAATAGTCAATTCTTCTAAAACACATCACATCCATTTTCGAAAAAACGTTATTTTCCACTGAGTCATTGATGAAAGATGCAACTATTTAAAAAATTGTAAGTCATAAAATAAACAATTCAACAAAAAAACTCCTTTTACCATCGGATTTTACTTTACACAAATACTCCTCTTCTAACAATTTCCTATTTGTGAGGAAAATTGAAAAAAAACTACAGTTATAAATATTAGTCCTTTTAAAAACAAAACAAACATTTTCTTCTGAAATTTTGCCTTTGAAAGATTTCTATATTCAAAAACAAAACTATAGATAAAAACTGCCGAATGAACAACAGAATTTAATGGTAAAAATATAATAAATATTAAATAATATATATTATTTTTGATATTTAAATCAACAAATATTGCCAATACTCCAAGTAGACAAAATGGCATCCAACATAAAAAATTTGTAGAGATTATAATAATTATTGATTTTGATAACATTGATTGATTTTTTTCTGATTTAATCATTTTTTTCATTTCTACTTTTGACTTTCTTACAGTCAAAAAAATCAAAACATATGAAACAAAAATAATTATATTATTCAACAGAAGTATAACACCAAAATAAAAAAACGAAAAAAACCATCCTTCCGTTAATTCCTTTCTAATATGAATATTAAAACAAATTGGCGTTTTTGAAAAGAAATTCTACAAAGAAAATTTATATACTTTCTAAAACAAAGAAAGTCAACTATTTCTCAATTTATGTTACATCATATATGACAGCTGGAATTGTTGCTAATAGCAGGGATGTCACCACATTTAATCCCATAAACCAAGCCTTCCTTTTTATGACTAAAATTGTATCTTTTCTGATTGAGGTTATTGCAAAGTATTTTTCAAGTGTCAATAATGAGACACTATTTGAAGATAATAAAACGGCAAATGACATCAGACTACCTAATCCATTACAATATATTCCATATCTCCAATTGTAATCTTCATCAAGGTATTGATTTTTATAATATAAATCAACAATTGCAATATTTAAAAGGTATAAACTCGTAAAAAAATCACCGAATATTAGAGTTGTTTGATAGGATACAAAAGTTTTTTGATGCACTAATAACATAAATAAGGCTAAAATATTTCCCAAAAATCCGCCAGTACCATAAATCCAGAATAAAATTCTTATCACATTAGTTGCCAACAAGGTGGAACAAATTTGAAATTGCGATGTAAACGGTTGACAAATTACAAATTGTGATATATATTTCCAAACCAAACAGCAAAAATTAAAATTGTTTGAGAATACTTTTTGAACTTTTTGTATACTTCTGGAAATATAATTGGATCTTTTCAAAGGAAAATTTGTAGAATTCATATGCAATTCTCTCAATTCTTTCAAATATTCAAACGATTTCATTGTAACAACTTTTATCCGACAATTTGCCAATTTAAAAATTCTTAAATTACTTAATTTTTGAATATTTTCAGAGTTCAGGTTTGTAATTTTTGTTTGCGAAATATCTAAATATCTTAGAACACTTCCATTGAAATTTGTTAAAAACTTTGTTAGATTTCTTATCGGATTATATGAAATATCAATATACTGCACTAATGAAGCCAGACTGAAACTCTCATTAGTGTCTCTTGTTTGTAATTCCAAAAGACTAGTATTCTTTAAAATGACAATTACAATATTTGGAAAATAGTGAATGGGAAAATTTTCAATCAAACAATTTTGAATGTGAATTAGACTTAATTTATAAAATTCTGAGTTCTGAATTGTGAATTGAAATGTTCCAATTATTGTTAAAGCTTTCAAATGTTTTGAATAAATTTCAAATTTTTCAATTCCATTTTCGAATTTTGAATTATTGCAAATTAAATGATAGGAATACTTTTGTATACAATAATTATGACTGTAAAGTTTCTTGGATGTGTTGTAACACAAAAGTTCATCACTACCATGAGCACAGTCTACAATTCCATTACAAACTTTCTCTGGTATTAAGTACAGCTTTTCATTTTTGCACATAAAAACGCCAATTGGATTAAAATTATCTGTCAAATGTCGAATTCTTTGTTTGTATTCCTGAAAAATATTCATTTTATTTTTTTCATGATTTTTTCTTACCGCAGAAGAGCTCATCATCTCCATGGAAACAATGATTGATACCATCGCAAAATTGTTGAATAGAAATACAAAATGTTTCAAAATGACACAAATATTCTCCAATATCGCATTTTGAAACGTGACAAGAATCAATTTCGTCGTAAGGGAAATGTGGTCTTGTTTGTAAATATCCTGTGGAGCTGTACTTTATTTTACATCGGTGCTCAAATTTTTCGGGATGACATATAACAGATGATAAATGCTGGATTTTTTCATAGCAAGAGAAAATTTCTTCATCCCAAGCATTCTGACAGTCTTTTCTAAAGTCACATAGAGATGTGTTTTGAATGATTTTCTTTTTGCAAGTTTGAAATGTAACTAAGGAAAAAAAGAAAGAAAATAGTTTGACTCAAAACATTAAAATACTACGAGACTACTGTTAGTAAACTGATTTTTAATGTATTCTGGATTTTCATCACTATCATCAAAACAATTTTTTTCGTCATCTCCCAAATGACTGTTAAGTATACATTGTCCATTCGAACATTTTCTGTCACAAGGGGAAATGTTTTATTCATTATGAAGATATTTCTCAAATGACGTTACTTGTAATTTTGAGGACAATTTGGTGTTTGACAAAAATTTTCATCAGAACCATCTCGACAATTTTCAACAAAATTACAAACCAGCTTATAATTGATTTTTTCTAAAGAAGTCAGACAATGAAATTCCATAAATTCACTTTCAGCACAATTTAATTCATCTTCCTTTAAAAGACAGTCAAATTTTCCATCACATACATAGATGTTTGATATACAATTTTTTTCGCTTTGACAAAAGAATGTGTTTTTAGGACAATTTTTCATCTCATCTATCACTAAATTTTTCATTATGTCATTTAAATGTTTAACTCCTATTTTAATAGAGTAATAATATGCAGGCTGATTGAATAAAAAAGATGTAACTACTGGGTTGTTGATGACAAATATAAAGTTTAGTCCAAACGTCACATTCAACCAACTTCCCTGATAGATAAGGCAAAATATTTCCAACTGTAAGCTGGTATATACTACATCCAAGATAGGGCTCTGATATGAATGTAAAACTTTCAAAATACCCTCGTTCCAGGTAGGTTGACAATAAAGTTTTTTTATTTTGACATTTCTAAAAGACATAATAATTTGTTTTTATAATTTTTCGTATATAAAGTAAGATTAGGATGTGAGGGAAAATATCCCCAAAATACAGAGTTTTCATTAACGTTTTTAACTACCCTTAACTCAAATCAATTGTTACATTACTCCTTTTAACCTTTTTTGAATAAATAATCTTGAGGACATTTTCAAATTAATCCCTTTTCTGTTTTACCTTATTATATCCTATATAATTTTTTGATTTGTATAAAATAGGATTATTACTTGCAGACACTTCAATTTGTTTAATTTGCAAAGGAAAGTCTTCAGATTTTGAATGTGTCATATTTTTTTGTACAACTCCTAATTTTATAGATTTTGAATAAGTGTTTGAAAAAGGAAGAGATAAAATATACCAACTATTTGGAAACTTAAAATTAAATATAAATTCTACTTCAACAAGCAAAAACATATAGGCAAACAAAAAATTTGATGATGGAATATCAGTCAATGTCAAATTATCTTTTTTGCAGTTTTGACCAATTTCATCAATTGTTAAAGTGTTAACATTTTCAAAAACACTATAACAAACATCATATAAACTATATGCATCTTTTCTTTTGCAATCAATCACTAGAAAAAGAGATATCAATTTTTTGAAAAGTGTTCATTCAAAATTTTTTAAACCTTGTTCTTTTGAACATTTAATGAAATATGGAACATTTGTTGATGGTAGTCTGTTGGGAATATTGAGAAAATTTTTATCGAATATTTAATATGTTAGGGAAATTTTAGAGAAAATGTTGACAGTTTGAAGAAAATACCATTGATATTTTTTTGGAAAGTTTTTTATCGATTTCTTAAAATTTCTTTTTGCCCCTCCCCCATAATCCCAAATACATATCTACACTACCTTCTATCTGGATATATGATGTAGCAGTCATGAAGATTGTCATTCTCACAAGAAAAAGTCTCAGCGTATAAGCCACTGCTTTGTGATACAGTTTTAGAATATTTTCCATAGTCATAATCTATTAAAGTTCCATAACTAAAACCGAAATTTCTACAAATTATTTGAATTTCATTGTATTTTAAACTTTTAAAATGGATCCAAATGATGAGTCTTAAATATAGAAATATTCCATTAAATTCAGTCAGGTTATGTTTTTTACCATATAGTAAGAAATTATTTTCATCATTATAGAGTATATAACGTGAATCTTTTAAAGTGAAAGAAAAACTTGAATATATAGGATTGAATGGGGATTGGACTGAAACTAAATAATTTTTACTTGTTTTTGCAAGACAAACTGGATTAGCATAAGTGATTTGTTCTTTTGGGTTTGAAAAGTGTACATAACAATCCCTATATTGACTTGCTCTATAACTACAATTATATATAACAGGAACCTGAATAATAAAACGAATAATACCAGTAAAATGAATAATTTCTTTTAAAAATACAAGTAATGAATATCTACCGATGTAAATGTAAAGGGTTCTAAAATCTGCTGATGAATGACTGATGTTGCTGATTTTGACAGTAATTGGCAAATCAACTTATTAGTTATACTAATTTTTTCTCTATCAGTATTGATGGAATTATCCAATTGAAAAAATGTTGGAAAAATACCATATGTCTTAGAAAAGAAAAAATATGAATAACTAGGCAGGATGAATCCATTATAAATGTGTTCAAAAGATTGATATAACGAAGGATTTTCATCTTGTGTTATCAATCTCAAGTCTAAAATATTTATTTTATACTTTTAGTTATAAATTTTTATTTCATTTTCTAATACCATAAAGATCAAAGTATTTACAAAGAATTGAGTATAAAGATGTGTTAAAACTAGATTCTTTCGCTATATCAACTTTAAATGTTCCAGTATTAAAAAATGCAATAAATGTTTTATTCTTTTTCACAAGTACACTATCATGATAAATAAATTCTGATAATGAACAAAATGAATATGATTTTATACTTTGTTTCATAGTATAAAATCTATTTTTATCTTTCCATAACATTTGATATTCAAATCCATTTGAACCAAATACTGCAAAGGCAACTATTTTTCCCAGAGAATAAAAATCTTTTTTAAACACCAAAATACATTTGAATTTAAACTTACATGTTGCATTTCTCTTAAAACACTGTAAATGAATGCCATATGATATTTTTCCCTTTAAAAAAAGACTATAAAAAATAGGAAAATGTTTTAAAAGAAAAAGAAAAAAATTTATGAATGAACTTACTATTTGCAACATGGTGTAAAAATCTGTATGATTGCATGATGATCAACGGTATAGTTTAAGAAATATGGTCTACTAATACCATAAAAATCATCATAATTACTTGCTTTGCATAATGTAGCTTCAAGAGGAAAAATAGATCTTTGGTATTTTATTACAATGTGTATTCTTTTTTCTGGATGTAATACTTTTAAAATTCCTTCAACTCGACCATGATTATCACTTTCGACTTGTAAAAACATTGATGAAGCAACAATATTTTTAAAATCTATGAGAAAAAATATTATTTCATAAAATAATACAAATTTCATTATCTCTACTAATATTTTTTCACTTGTTGTTAAAAGTTTAATATATAATGAAAAATAAAATAACATTAAAAAATGCCATTCAATTAATTTTAACCTTTCATTTCCATTTAAAAAAAGGTTAATTGTCTTGTGTTGAATAAGTTACAATAAATAACGTTTGTAATAGCCGGCAGAGGGCCGATGTATCTTTTAAACGTAACGTTGTAAGAATCCTGCCAGGTGGCCCTTGGTGTACGTTCAGTAGCTGAATTGTCTTTACCGTCATAATATATATCGTTAAGATATATGTTTCACGGTAATTATTAAAATAAAGTCCTTTTCCTACTTTATTCAAAAGTAAAGACAAGACGAAGTTCTCAATAAGACAAATTTTGAATTAGTTTTACGTTTTTGGGACATTTCAGAAAGGAGAATTTAAATTGTTCCTCACATTCGAAAGTTGAGAATATCTTAACCGTTGGGAGTTAAGAATAGCTGGGAATTGTCCAGTAGAAAAGAATATTTCAATAATCAAGAACCAAAGGTATTTATAACCGTTTGGAAGACAGAACGTTTGACCATTGAAAAAACTTTGAAAATTAAAATGGCGAGCAATATAAACTCTGATGATTTTGAAGATTCTATATTGCCATCTCAATTAAAAGGCGCGTTAGTTTCAAGATTGTTACATCAAAAAGCCCCCCTCTTAAGAATTTACTCAAAAAGGAGTCATTCAAGAGCCAATGTTATCGCAAAAATTTGGTACATTAAGGACATTTTAAGTTGGACAAGAGAAAAGGTAGGAACATATCATTCCTCAGATCTCAGCAAACTCGAAAATTGGTTAGAGAAAATGGAAGAAAGTATTAAAGACGGAAGATATGTTCCTAGAGAGGAGGACAGAGATGACGGTTGGCTCCAAACAGTGAAGTTGGTAAAGAAACCTTTTAAGTCGGAATTTTGGATGAAAGAAACAGAATTCAAATCAAAAGAAATTCACACTTCGGAGCAAAGATCTTTAGTAGAGGAATTTCCTCCTTTAGCAGACTACGAAGATGCAAATTCGATAAATTCCGAGTTACCAAATTCAGAAGTCAGGAGAAAAAGAAATGACTTCAAATTAGACCTTTCAGATAGCGACTCCGAATCTATAAAATCGTTATTGAGAGAGCAAAGAATTCAATCCTCCAGCAGAAATGAAAATCTTATCTACTTAAAGGAACTGGAATCCGAAATGATCTGGAAAGAAAAAGTTCCAAAGGATAAATCAGAGGAAATAGTTAATAGATTATCGACCCTCGAATAAAGGAGTTATCAATACGAATATGAAATCGTAGCAAAGGCAAAGGAGATAATCTTGCCTATCATAGAGGAAGCGGTATGGGAAGATGAGTTAGCTCGCGGGCATTTGGAGGAACAATTAATAAACTTTTTTAAAGGCAAAATATTGCGTCTTGAGGAGTGATATAAATGGTTATTTAAAGAAAATTCATTCCACATAAAGGAACAAGTCACAGAGTTGTTGGACAAAAATCTTTATGGTTTGGAAGAAAGGCTAGACTTGCTGGAAGGAAAAATTAAATTGATTGCGAAAGGAAATCTAAGTAATTGTTGCATGAATTTTGGTAGAAACAAATCCCCAGAGGAAGAAATTAAAGAATTGTTTGGTTGAATAACAGAGTTCAAAGGAAACCCTGTAGAGTATACAGTATTCAGATGTCGGATAGCAACATTCTCAGAGAAATTCCCAAATGTCGATAGTTATGTCAAATTTGAAGCTTTGATGTCACGTTTAGACGAATCAGTAAGGACCCTAATACAAGAATATGCTTCCCACCCAAGTGGAAGCTTTGAATCAGCTTTAGAAAGATTAGATCGTCACTTTAATAGAATAGACAAATATGAGGAGATGGTCAACAGAATCCACGGCTATGGGAAACTGGATATAGGTGCTGGTGACACCTTAGTAAAACTTGCAGAATATATGCGGAGTGTAATAAAATTGTTAGGCGCAGAACAAGTCCGACCAATTGGCAGTGGGAAACTTTACAGATTCTCTAAAGGAACTGTGGGTTAAAAGAACCAAAAGTAAAATAGGTACAAATGAATATGAACCAGAGAAAGAGTTAATTCAATTCTTAGAGTCTCAACAAAGCAAGGCGGTTTATCTGCAATATTCTCTATCTC